GTCCTCCTCTCTCTCTCTCTCTCTCTCTCTCTCTAACACGCACACACATTTTAGCCATTAGGGTTTCCTGATAAAAGGGCTCTCTCTCTTTATCTCTCATTTTAGTCAATTGGGTTTCTTGATAAAAGGGATTTTCCATGAGAGGCTGTCTTGTGGGGGTTCACGAGTTGGATGGTGCAGAGTTTCCGTTCATAAATGGTTAAAAAGCAGACCTGGCTTCTCTTACACTTTGAGAATCTTTTCCCTACAATTAAAGGAGCAAACAGTTTCCCTTAGTGATTAAAAACACTGTCCAAAAGCTCTTTCCCAATGCCTCTGCATCTGTATACGGCCATTAATGTTATGCCTATCATCCAATGGTACACATGACATGTACATCTATCTCTAGAAACAAATTGGATTATGTACCTCTCCTCCACTTTGAATATGATGGACGATATGCCCATTTGCCTCAATCGTACCTTATGCTGGTCTATGTATGTATGCATGTTTTAATGTCGAATACTAGAAGCCCATAACGCTAAAAAAAAAAAAGAAAAAAAACAAAAAAAAGAGCCCATGTACACTATATTTTTCACATTTTATCAAATATTGCTCTCTTTAAATTTGAAGATCATCAATATATTTCATGAAATGTCGCTCTCTTAATTTTAATATAACTGTTGATTATTTTTGTGTTTCTATCAAATTAGTTAAAGTTGTGAAGAAATGTTTTTGTTTTTTTCTCTCTTTTTCTAAATTGGAGGTGTAACCGTTGAAATTGAGTTATGTTGAAAGAAAATTTTGTTTGTAAGGTTGATAAGAGATACAAGCAATATTGTGAAAGAATGAGAAGCGTGGCGTCTTCATTTGAGGCGGTGGCGGGAGCGGGTGCGGCTCATGTGTATCTGGGGATGGCGTCCAGGGCCATGTCGAGGCACTTCAGGTGCCTGAGGGATGGGATAGTGGCTCAGTTGAGGGCAACGAGGGTGGCTCTTGGGGAGAAGGAGGCTGCTGTAATGGTGTCTCTGAATGGCGCGACGAGGGGGGAGACGCCGAGCTTGAAGCTGGTGGATCAGAGACTGAGGCGGCAAAGGGCGTTGCAGCAGATGGGGATGATGGAGGCCCACCCCTGGAGGCCGCAAAGAGGCCTGCCTGAGCGCTCCGTCTCCCTTCTTCGGGCCTGGCTCTTCGAGCACTTTCTTCACCCGTAAGCTCTCTCTTTATCTCTCTAATGAAATACAGGTCTCTCTCTCTCTCTCTCTCAAAATAAGCACATGGCTAGGGACTATGATCACCTCCTTCCCTCCTCTTTCTAATTCTCAAAGAAATTCATGGTTCTGGGATCGATCTCTCTGCAACTCCATGAATACCGACTAAAGTCTGTTATATCTCTGTTAATGATCTTTAAAATTTCTGTTATGTGGTGCAGTTACCCGAGTGACGTCGACAAGCATATTCTGGCAAGGCAGACTGGACTCTCAAGAAGCCAGGCATCTCTCTCTCTCCTCTCTCTCTGGTTTTCTGTGCGGAATGTTAAACAAGAAGCCAGGCCTCTCTCTCTGGTTTTCTATAAGAATGTTGATGAGTGAAAGCACCGTTTGTTTTTCTAGTCTGTAACATATTTGGCCCATTTGTCTTTGAAAATCCGTATTTTCAAACGTTTTTACAAATTCACAACCGCAAGGTGCGTACTGAACGTATCTTATGGGCATATGACAAGGGGAATGTATATCATATCCCCAGTGGAGCATAGTGATAATGACACCATGATGGCAGCATCCACTGTCAGTTGCAGGTGATGGATGGTGGATATTTAGCTCTGCTCGATTATTGCTGCTGTTAATCTCCACCGTCCCTAATCGGAAATACCGGTGGTGAAGAACTATGGTGTACCATACCCTACATTATCAATGTAGACACTCCCGAAGATAAGTCTCTAAACTTGTGTAGGAAACCATGACTTGGCCACGGAACTTGGCTGAGTTATGAGTTACTCGGCCCTAGTCGGGTAGGGTCCAACCACGACAACAAAAATGTTAGAAAATAAAAATTACAAAAAATCCAAAAAATATGAAAAATATATGTTTAGAATAAAATTAAACAAAACATTTTTAAATGGGGTTAAAAAAAGTAGTGAGAAAATGAATTTTGAAAAAATAAATGTGACCAGGGGTATTTTAAAAATTATAAAAAATAAAGAGAAAAATGTAAAAATATCTGATCAAAACACTTTTCAAACTTTGCCATAATGATAAAAATATAACCAAATAAACTTCTTATTTTTTGAAACTTTTTTTATAAATTTTTTAATATACACTAAACTCGGGATACTCGGGCTTGCCATGGCGGCAAACCCGAATTGCTCGGGCGAGCCCGCTAGCAGTCGAGCTCCAAACTACAGTAGTTTGCATGGCTTTTTTTGAATAGTAGAGATAAATTCATCTTGAAAACTTAGTCCTGTTGTAATTTTATTCGTGCCTGTAATGTTCAGGTGTCCAATTGGTTCATAAATGCAAGAGTTAGACTATGGAAGCCCATGGTGGAGGAAATGTACCTTGAAGAAGCCAAAGAAGACATAGAAGACAGACAAAACCCTAACCCTAATTCCAACAGCCCCTTCATGCCATCTGAACCCAACGCAACCGCACAAGATCGAGACTCAGAATCCCTATCCTCCATTGTCATCTCCGACACAAAAGACCAAGTCGCCAGAAACCTTCCCGAATTGGGCTTCCCATATGCAGAAGACGACAATTCCAGCCAAAGGCACTTCTCCGGCATGTTTCCCAGTGAGGACTCTGGCCAAAGGCAATTTTCCGGCAACTACACCGAAGAGAGTTCAGTACAGTTGCAATTTTCGGGCAATTATTCCGATGAGAATTCGACACACAGACAGATTTCTATGAGTGGGGAGGGTGTTTCGCTAACGTTGGGATTACAGCAAGGTGGGGCGATGAACTTCGGCTTTTCGTCAAATCCGCAAAACCCTCTCTTGTTCTTGGAGGGGGAGGACCATGGGACTGGGTTTGGGTCCCAAATGGGAGGGTACAGGAACCTAGTGGGTGGACACTTGATGAGGGACTATGTGGGTTAGGGCTCGAAAGGGAGCGGGTGGGATTTGGGGGCGTATTTTGGTTTGTAATGGTGCAAGTAGGTGTGTACGTGTATATCCTCACTGTAGTTTTCAGTTAAGAAGATGGACGGTCGAGATCCGGTTGGCTGCCCTGGAGGAAGGGGTCTTAACCGTTGGATTTGGAGGAGGAGAAAGGGAGGGCCGCTATCATTCCTTTTTCCTTTGGCCATTAGACCTGCTATTTACCTGTTATATTTTATACTGTACATTTTGAAATGACGTAAAACAAGAAATTCTCTCTCTTAAATTTAGATACGATAACCGACATATATGTATATTGCACGAGGTTTTTTCCAATGTTTGATTATTAGCTTTTTCTTTGTCGCATGTTGTTAGTGATTTTTCATGGGGGATGCATTGTTGGAGTTGATACCAATTTCTACAGGAAAAGTTTGTATAAGGAAGCAACCTTATATTATACTATAGAAGTAACTACACCTCATAAATTCAGTAGAAACGAGTGTTTTGAAGTTTGAAAACGTTCCAATTGATCGTCTCAACGTCGAGATGTATGAATATATATATAAAAAAAAAAACTTAAAGTCCTCAATTTAGTACATCATTGTTATCTGGATCATTTATTTTCAAGATTTACAAGTGTTTGTAGATCTACTTGATGTGTACTCTTTTTTAAATGTTTAAATTTCATAATTAGAGCGGAATATGGATTTTGAAGTTAAAGTAAGGTTTTTTATACCATAATTACTTGTTTTCAGCAAAATTTAGAGTTGTACCTTACGCATTGTATACGGTGGGCATCTTATACAAAGCTCACCCTTTAAATAGTAAAAGAAAAAAGTGTATATAAAGTGTCAATCTTATACTCCACATGTAAGCTGAATCTCAAAATTTCACCTAAAAATGTGGCTTTGAACAATTGATTATCTCGACCCCGACCTCAAAGTGTATTGGTGTGAGGAAAAGAAAAAGATATCAAATTCTAAAAATAATGCATCTTGAAATAAATTATCTAGGTCATAAATTTTCAAGTTTTCATAGATCCACTCAATCTACACTACATTTACAGCTTTACATTTCATACTTCAAAGTAAAAATAGATTTTCATAGTAACGGTCCGTGATATCAAAATGTATCTTTCGGCAAGATTTAGATTTAGAGGTGCTCCATCTTATCCAAACCATACCCGATAGTAAAAATATTAGGTGCATTTTGACAAAGAAAAAGTTTAAGGTGCACCTAAAAAACCCACCAGATAAGGTTGTTTTTATACTGAAAAACCCTCATATCAATCATCTCGACATCAAGATTCATAGACATAAAAAAATAAAAAGGGACTTGTTCTAAAAATAGTTCATTTTTTAATACATTATATGGATCGTCCATTTTCAAGATTTTCAAGTGTTTATAAATCTACTTGATGGTCATGATTTTTGGAACTTTAAATTTCATAATTAAAAAAAACAATAAATGTTCATATCACAAGGCTTTGTCGCCCCAAAACTGCATTTTTGAGGTGCTCCTTCAATAGTATAATTTATTTTTTTTAGGTAAGTGAAAAAAGGAAGAAGTGGTATGTTAGTGGGGATTTGAGCCCCTATTATAACACAGTTCAATTTTACAAAATGTAAACCATAACGGTGGTTCAATCAAAGCCCTCATCGCATTTCATTCATATCTAGCGAAGTTGTTGGTGACTTTTCGTTAATTTCATAGAAGCAAATAAAATGCGGGCCTACTCCTGTTACTTCGTGAACGTGTGCAGCGTTCTCCAGGCGGGATAATACTGTACATCTACTCCCTCAGGCCTACTATTCTCAAATCTACTTTAGAATCACATGACGAGAATCTTAGTAGAGAAAATTGGTTTCTGAGTTCATAAGTAGACCTGACCATCCAGAAATTGGGGATAGTATTTTTTTTTTAAAGTTCTTTTAACATGACAAATGAGGAAAACAAAAGCTTATGTTGCAACCTTAAAATGTAGAACTAAGGTGTACCTCAAAAATCTATTGAAAAAAGTTGTTTTGAAGTTGGAAAAACCTTTAATTGATCATCTCGACATCGAGATGCATGTATGACTATGGGATCAAGATTATGAATATGGAAAAACAAAAAAAACAAAAAAAAAAGATTTTGAGTCCTAAATATTGCGTTATATGGACCATCCATTTTCAATATTTTCATGTGTTTATAGATCTACTTGATTAACCATTTTTGTAGTTTAAAATTTTATAATTAGCATGAAATTAGATTCTCAGGCTATTCTAAAAAAAATTTATACCAAAATTACGTCTAACGATAAAATTTAGAGGCAGAATGATTAAATTTATCCTGAAAAGGGTTTCACCCAAGAGGGTGAATTTTTTGTATTTCATCTTTCGCATTTGGATAAATCAAACCATTTTGAAAACCACCGCCATTTATGTAAAGATTTCAATGTTGTTGCCATGCATAACAACTCCAAAGCGAAAAAAAAAGGAAAAAGACGCTCCAAACGTTATTTGCCATATACCTAATAAAATGTTTCGATAGGAAGACTTGCTTGACCCCAAAATACTCTAAAGTCACCTTGGTCCATCTGTAATAGACTAATATTAATAAAAAAAAAAAAATGAAACACAAACTGACTAAGAGCCTATGAAATGCCCCAAATCAATTCCCCTCCAAGATGATTCCTGGCCACCAATTTGCTATAGGATCAAATATTGGCTCAAAATCAAGTCTTTTCATAATGGTATTATCACATGTTGAGGTTTAGACGATTTAAAGAAAATTCAAGTTGGAAATACCTCCTATCTAATAAGATTGGTTGCTGAACAAATGGATATTAATGAAACTATTGGGCTCACCTGCTCGAGCTTTTGCAAGTATGCAGAGTGCGCAGTGAAACTCTTACTTCTACACAGCTCCTATTTTTCTCTAGCCAAGGTCTTCTTCGTTATATTCGACGTCTTCTTGTCAATATGAATCGTCTTTAGCTGCATTCACTTTTTCTCTAGGAAATCTCAAATTCAATGGTAACCCACATCAATGTGCTTCATCCTTAAAAGAAAGCCAGCATCCTTGTTCAATTGGACGGTGCTTTGACATAATCCTTATTTCAAGCCCAACTCTTCTTGTTGGATTATGTTGCTGCAACATACTCTATTGAAGGAATCTCTTCATCTACGACATCACCTTGTTGGATTATATTGCTGCAACATACTCTGCCTCTATAGTCAATAGAGCCCGACAATTTTGTAACTTGGACTGCCATGATGCAACTCCCCTTACATCGTGAAAGGTTAACTTCATAGTGTCTAGGTCTCCAGTAATGTGTTTACGGGTTCTTAAGCTATCCATGGGAATACACGTAACAACACAAGAGAGACACAAACAACACCTGAATAAGAGGATGATATTGAAAAGAACTTTATTTTATTTCTGAATAAATCGGTCGCATGCTTTATTAATTATATTCACCTCCTCAATGATGGGGGATACTGAATTACCTCTATTTAATCAGATAGATGACGAAAATGAAGACAACGAACAATAAAGTTTACCATATATGTTCATATAAGCAGGATCTTCAATTGTCTTCGTACTGGTCTCCGAAGTTCACCGCTTGTGTGTAGTTGCTCACTGATCATTTTACTTTCCTCAATTGTTGATTGCCTTCTTGTGCTCATGGCCACTGGTTCTTATAGAGGTTGAGGTGCTCTTGCTGGTGGTCTATCGACCCTCTCGAATAAATCTCACCTAAAATTAACTATAGGAACCTAAATTGTGGAGATGTAATGTTGAAAAACTTGAGGGAAGAGATGGACCCACTCTCAGGATTAGGGGGAGTGTCATGAGACTATCGATCGCAGAGATCAGGCTTTCACCAGAACTGTGAGAACTCTGTAAATTTTTGTGTATCTCTCCATGGCCATGAAACCCTTCTTAAAGAGAGATAGATGAGGTCGTCCTCCAACATTCGGCTTCCTCCTGAAATCTTTGAGAAATCGTAGCCATGTAATCTTGGGAAGTGGGTGGTTACTTTCTAGCCGTTAGATAACGATACTTTCTCTCTCTAAGAAGCATCCCTGTTTTAGTGATAAGCATTAAATTATAAGAGAGAGAAATATTGCACGTTTAAAGGCCCCATGACCACACACACGTACCAACATTTCCCACTTGACCATGATGGCCAGATATATTGAAATATCATAAAGTTTTTATCACTTAATGAATTTAACATTTATGAGCATATTTTTGTCATGAGGCTTTTCATGCAAATGCGATTATACATCTCATAACAAAAAATATCCAAAGTCATGTCATGGTTTTTCATGCTAATGCGGTTTTTTCTCTCATGACGAAGACATAAAAAAAAAAATCCCATTTGGGAGTTCTTGACTTAAATATTTCTAAGTCTCATCAAAGCTACATGCTTTGATAATATTTCTGCACTCAATCCCTTTGTCAAAGGGTCTGCAATCATATCTGAATATGGTAAATAACTTACAGTTATTTCATTCTTTCCAATAATATCATAAATATAATGATAATCAATTTCAATATGCTTACCCCTAGAACTATAAGCTCCATTTCTAATTGATGAAATAGCAGCCTGATTATCACAAAAAAATTTAACTGATCCGTCGGTTATATCCAACTTCAAATCATTTATGCAGCATTTAATCCAAACAACATAAATTGTAGCAATACTACAAGCAATATACTCGGCTACCATAATATACCGCGCTATACAACCTTGTTTCTTACTAGACCAAAAAACACATCCACCTCCAAAAAGGAATACAATTCTTGTGGTTGATTTTCTATTATCTGGATCTCTTGCAAAATCTACATCAGAGTACCTAGTAATCTCTAAGTTGACAGCTTGGAAGCACAACTTGTAATTTTTAGTTTTTTGAATATATATGAGAATCTTTTTTACAGATTGCCAATGAGACATCCCAAGATTATTTTGAAATCTACTTACAAGACCATATGCATGACTCAAATCAGGTCTTGTACACAACATGACATAATATATACATCCTCCAGCTTGAGCGTATGTAATTCTTTCCATTTCAGCTTTGTCACTATCATTTAATCGACACCTTTGCTTTGATAATTTCAAGCCTTTACAAACAGTTGTATTTATGGGCTTGCAATTTTTCATCTTAAATCTCTTTAAAACTAAATAATTTTCTTGAGATAAACGTAGAAGTCTTGAACTCCTATCTCTTGTTATTTTAATGCCCAATACATATGAGGCTTATCCCATATCTTTCATCTCAAAATAGGAACTTAGCCATGATTTGGTAT